ATATATATCTCAAGATAATGTCTTATTATATTGTTTCTTTGAAGAAATCATGTTACAAAAAATGATTGGAATTATTAGCTAGGTCAATTATTAAGCACTACAAAAAATGATATAAAAATATACACAAACATGATATTTGTCGCTTTAATTATGCATGATCGTGGAGGAATGTTATTCTTAATGAAAAAATTGGTTCTAAATTATGCGAGTTTTGAATCAAAGAGAGAGAACATCTTTAGAGACTCTTTCAGAAAGAAATAGCGTTTGCGCAATATCTTCTACTTACGTTTAGAATCGCGCCAACGACGAGCTGCAAATTTCATGTTTGAAGCAACAAGAGAGGTATTGCCTTGAAGAGAAACCCTATGTTTCGGGCGGCACAGCGACACGTACAAATCGTACGATTATGCGAGTCGTGACACGGCGCGCGCCGGCGGTTGACTCCTGAGAAAATGCGATTGGATTGATCTCGGTGATGTATCACCGACCATTTCCGCATTTTCTCTTCCCCCGCTAACCACACGAGTCAGGAGCGAATTCTTTGCGATTGCAGGAAATTTGCATGTATTGCGTCCATGATTGCACACATACACATACACATATCTATCTTTCTTTGATAGATTAATGTGCTTACAAATTACATTTGACAAATGAAATACGACTTCTTGATTCAATCTCCTCTACGAAATATTTCTAGAAAAATTATGATATGTCAAAAATTAAAAAGAATTAATTTACATTAGGATGGGAGAATCAATTTTTTAAATATAACATTTTTTTTATATAAGAGAGATGCTTGTTAGATAAAGATCTTAAACTTTTTATTATTTATTTCAAACGATTTATTGATTTTTTTGTAACATCTACTTTTATGTTTGAAACATTTTATACAAATTATATTTATGTAGATTTATATAGTATAACACAAGTTCCCTCGAAATTCCATAATGCAATTACAACTACATTAATAATTTATCTAACGCGAAGAGCGCATTCCCATATATTATATATGAGCCGAGACTCATGTAGCCGCATCCAGCGGTTAAATGCAATTGTATAATTATCGGTTTCTCGCGCAGCAACGTCGAAGGAAGTCTTCATACCGAACAGATAAAATTGTTAATCCGACAGGACGCATTTAGCGCCAGATGCGGCGCTATAAGCTATTAGATAGCGAGAGGACAAGCGGGGCTCTTATCGGACAGCTGCAATCGGTGACGAATGAACAGTGATAGTTCCGGAACAGAGCCGTCAATAATCTGAATAATCAGTCAAATCCGCGATTCAAGCGGTGGAAACTTTGAACTTCCTGGAAGAGCGCCCGGAATGAATCTTCGCGTTCCCGTTTCCTTCGGCAAAGAATCCGATATCTTCGGCAAATCGTATGCAATATGCAAACTCGATTACGTTGATCTCCCTCTCCCTTGAAAATCGCGAGGTTCGACGGGATACGCCCGACGGCAACGAGAGCGCTGCGAGAAATAATTAGTTTTGCAACTATGACGCACGCTCGCGCTCGTATATGCGGGCACGCACGCATGCACGCATGCATGCACGCACTCATGCACGCCTCCGCGGGACGCATGGCAGGAGAGTGGTTATCACGGGGCTGTGATTGGTATTGCCCTATGACCTCCGTCGAGGCACGGCTCCGCCTCTCACTTACGCACCGACACGCACGCATTAAAAGCGGACCTCCTTTGCGTACGTAAGCGAGCGAACGAGCCGCTCGCATTGCTCGTCGCTTCGTTCCGGCATCATGATGGCGTCCGCGCTTTCCGAGCAAAGATACTAATTGAGAATCCGGAGGGGGAGAGAACGAATCGACTTTTTCGCCACTTTGTAGCATCATGCTACATGTTGCGGTCGCGTCTGAAATGTAATAAAGAAACTCTTGTCTCTAGCACTAAAAAGAAATTATCTGATATTTATTTTAAGATAACCGGATTACCAGAACCAGTTTTTCGAAGCTACACAAGATACATAAATAATATAGCCGTTAATTAAAGTTTTCAAATAATTATAAATGTTTGTTGATTCTATATCTTATTCTTTTTAACTGAAACATACAGCAATTTAAGTGAACTTACAGCGATTTGCTGTTATCGTTATTATTAATGACATTCTTAGATAATTGAAGACAGTCGATATGTTTTATAATACAGTTGTCGTAGTGGGAATTATTAGCGTTCCAGCTATTTATTGGTGTTGGTTCTCTTCCAGCGACCTCGTTAATTAAGTCCAGGCTAAAAGTCTCGGTGGACTCTAAACGAGCTATGACAATCGCTCGATTTGGCATTCCGATTCTCCCATGATTCACCGTACGCTTATAGTCACCGTGGGCTTAATTGAGAGCTTGGCAGATGAAAATTATGCTCTTTGTATATTAGTTCGTTACTCGGATCCCAGCCTATATGCGTCCAGTAAGTCTTACATTTAATGATACATAAAAGTTTCAGCAAATATATCATCGGATATTTAGACCCCAGAATGTCATTTAAACACTCAGAGTTGTATAAAGATTGAAGAATTAAATTAATCCGCAGATTAGGAAATGAAAATTTTAATAAGAACATGAGAATGTAGATGTTTAAAATATAACAATTCTAGTATAAAAATGCTCTAAAAAATTAAAATACTTCAAAATTATAAAGAAAATAGGACGATTATAAATTTAACGATTATAAATTGCAAATATATCAAAGAATTTGAAAATTTGAAATCCTTAAGCAAAAACTTACACACAGAAAAATATCATTGCGTCTAAAAAATTAAAGTACTTCAAAATTCTAAAGAAAATACACAAAGAAAAATATCATGCTAAGAAAGGTGATTACTCAATTTATTTTTCATTTTACTTTTTTTCTTTTAAATAACGCACTTATCTTTAACAATAAATTTTAGAAAAATTCACTACGTACTCGAAACAAATCCAATATCTATATATATATATATTTTTTAAAGACTATTATAAAATTGATCGAAGAAGTGACTTTATATAATAAATTAATTAAATTTGCTTTAATTTAATAATTTTAATTGAGTATTACTGAAATTCAAAATATATTTTTTGAATAAATTTGGTCCTTGCATCTTATTATTTGTTATATATTATCTATTATAAAAAAATTTGATCAATTTATGATAGATTTGCTGATAAACTTTTGAAATACAAGTAAAAATAAGTAATTATCATTTACGTACAGTACGTATTTTTCTATGTATTAGGTGTAGTAAAAAGAAATCCATTATTTTTCCATTCAATTTCATGCAAAAATAATGGATTTCTTTTTACTACACCTAATATATAAATAATAAAGATTCTAAACAAACGTCAGCATATCATAAAAATGTGTAATAATGTTGAAATTTTAATTCTGACAATTTATTCTCATCACTTTAAGATATAATAATACACTTATTATTACATTAATAAAAAAATATTTTGCAGGAAGTCCGCGCAGAGTTTCGTGAAAAATGACTTTGGCGAACGCACAGAAATTTGGATACAACTCATTCGTAGTTAAAGGGTTAATCGAGGTCAGCGCGATCGATTCCTACTCATGTAATTTATTTCTCAGGAGTTACGTAACAGCATCCTCCGGCATCTTTGCCGCCGATGCTTTTCGCTCGATCGATGAACGATCGATGGAGAATCGAAAACACATGCTACGCCCTCCATCATACGTCCTTAGAGGAAATTATCGTTCCTCTGTGCAACATTGCGGATATTAACTTATCGCATCGGCTATAATTTGCGATCGTTCCGTTACCGTGATGATTATTTCACGAGAAGTTTTAAATTTGTGTTGTTAGTTTGTTACGATCTCTCGCGGCAGTGCGATTGTTCGATTTACACTATTTTAACTTCTATCACTATTTCCGCTGTTGCCTGCGGTTTTCATTTAATCAGATTACAAAATCAGTCATGATATATTCTATTTAGGGCAATAAAATCCGGCTTTTGAATAGGATTGAATGGAACATTGAATCGAACAGTAAACATCTATATTTATGAATTAATTTGAGATACATTTAACATTTAAAAATCGAAAAAAATTTACTAAATTTTTTAATAAATATTTTGGAAAGTACTAATTAAATATTTACTAAAATATAAATTTATACTTGATACAAGAACTATTAATTTGATTTATTTTTTTTTATTGAATAAATATTTATTGTAAGAGTAAATGTTTAGTTAGTATTGAAAAAAATATGATAAAGATTTAACACATTTTTTCAGTATAACTTTTTGCTTCAATTGTTTTATATCATAATTAAAATTAAAATAACGAAATTCTAAGTATATTTTTTATACATAATAATTAAAATTTAAAATTGTTATATTTTGATAAAAAATGCTTAATCTTTATCACATATAATTTGCAATGAGTTTTAAGAATCGAAAATTGGTTAATTTTTTATATTGCAATAATAAATTTTATAAAATTTTAAATTTTAAGTAGTATTTATTACAATTATAAAATAATTTAATTATTGCGCACAAAATAATATAAAGAAATAGCGGCATGATTTTAGTTTTGATCTTTATGCTACGGAAACATGCGACCTATAATTTTACTAAAATTAATACTTGTTTGATATCGAAATGATCAAAGACCAGATGTCTTTTAAACATGCGATTTTAAATAAATCAATGAATAATCGAACAAAGAACGATTCGATGAACATATGTGAGCTCAAGGAGAACCGACGTGTGGGTGGCAAAACGGCAATTGAAACATAACAAACGCACATTACTCCATCAAGAAACGGAAAGCAGCGGTCGCGGTTCCCCGGTAGACTTCCTCTGGAATTCTTTGATCCCTGTGCGCGAATGCGTATCGCCGTCGGATATCGTCGTTAAGCCTTTACCATAATATCAATCGCAAACAGGATTAATTCTCATTGCAATACGAGTATTTTTTAATAGAAATTTTTTCAATATATTTCTAATGCATATTAACTAGATTTATTGTAAAATATATAAATAATCTATTTACATAGTTTTATAAAATAAGTTTAAAAAATGCCATAAATAAATACTATAAATTGTTATGACTATAGAAATTATTCAAATAAATACACGTACAAATAAATATACAAATAAATACACAGTTCCTATTCTAGCTTAATTTGCAGAAAAACATCTGTTTTACTATTATAACTTAAATATGATGAAATTGGACTCGTGTTCTTTAATACATAAATATCCATTCTAATTTATTTTCTTTTATATAAGTATATATATGCTGGTATATAAATAATAAAATATTACATATAAAAGGAAAGATTAAACATTTTTTTTATTATATACTTCAGATTTTTCTTATACAATAATTTTTTATTATACAATAATTTTAAGTTTGTTTCCTTAGTTTTATCAAACTTAGATCATTAAATGGGACTCTTCCATTTTTTTATGGGAATGTCGCGACGTCAACGG